CCCCAGCCCTCTGCCCCATCAGGAGAGGTGCCCGGGCGCAGGGAGAGCTCAGCCAGGGCGCTGGGCTGCCAGCCCTGGCACCGATGGGGATTTTTTTATTTTCTGCTCATGATCTTCCTTTTCTCCTTGGGAGGTCTCAAGTCGGGGATACCCAGGAATCACCACGGGATGAGTTTCCTTCGGAGAAGCGCTCTCCCCGTCTCCTCCCGCTGGGCTGGCATCTCGCCCCGCTCATCGCGCCGAGGGGCACCCTCTCCCCTCGGGCACGTCTTGCCAGGTGCAGCCGGGTGCAAACCTGCCACCCCGCAGCTGGGCTCTGGTTATTCAGGCTTAGATCCCTGCTCACAGCTCAGCAGGCAGATGGGCAGCGAGGGGAAAGGCACAAGAAACAGGTAGGATGTATAAAGAGAGACTGGTCCAGCATCCTCTGCCCCCACCTCACCTTTTGTTCCGATTTCCTTGAGGCTGTAAATATTTAACCCTTCCTCTCTGCTCAGTTGGTTTCAGCCCGATACAACTGTCAACATCTTTGAGATCTTTGGAAACCAGGGAGGAAAAGGAAACATTCAGGCGAATGATTTTGTGGGAATTTTTGCTCCTAGCCCATTTCACTGCAGCTGAGTCAGCTGAGCCCTGTATGGAAACACCTTCCAGACTCGAGTCTGAGCCTGGGGAGATAACAAGCCCCGCCACCGAGCACAGACGCTGCGCTGCATCGCTCTTATCTCCCAGGCCAGCAAACGCCAGACGCTGCTTTGCTAGTCCTACCCCTCCCTCCAGGCTCAGTGGGCAGATCCAGCCACTGCTGAGAGAAGCTGCCAGCGGCATCGCCTCACCCTGGCCAGGGCAAGGGGCAGAGGACGTCTGCTGAGCCGGACGGCATCTTTCCTCTTGGTCTCTCCTACGGTCTTGACTACGGACACAATTTTCTCATCTTATTCCCTGGTTATCCTTCCCCACTGCCGGTCTCCGCAGACATCCCCTGTGCTCCGACACCTGTGTCTGCTCCCTCTTTTTCTCCAACACATAATCCCAGCTTTTCTGCCTTCCTCTGCTGCAAGAAACACATTTCCTCCCGTTTCATCTCACCCAAGAGGGACTGGGGGTATTGCACCTGGGATCCCGCAGAAGCCAAAGTGTTCAGAGGAGGATTAGGCGAGTTCGGTGCAGACAGGGCCAGCCTGGCTATAAGCAGATGGTCCGGATACGTCCCCTGCTTGGGGAATTCCCAACGCCTGTGGCTGCCAGGAGCCAAGAAGGTATAAGAAGGCCCAGCCACTCTAAATACAGGCTGATCCTACAAGTATCTGTTACTGACCACAGTCAGAAAGAGCCGCGCCAGCCAAACCGCCCCAGCTCAGTGCCGAGAGCCACGGCAGGAGCAGGACACAGCTTTGGGACTGAGAGTCAGAAGACGACGGGTACCCGGAGTTAAAACTCCAGCACTGGGCGTAGCCAAAGTTTCCCCAATAAAGCAAGACTTCCCTGCAAGGACACGCAGCTTTGGGAAACGGCAGTTTTCCCTAATACATCGCCCTGTCCCGTGGATGTGCTGCAAGGTCGTGGGGACCCGGCCCTGCCCTCCACCGCCTGTGCACGGCTTCCTACGCAAGCCTCTCCTCCCGGCACAGTGCAAAGCACAGGTTGGTTCCTCCGGGATCACAGCCGCAGCACGGCATTCCCACGGGAGACGGAGGGACCCACCTCGCTGCAGGGCACGAGTGAGGGGCCAGCAAAGCCCCTCGGCAGCTGGGGTGCTCCCTGCAGGGAGAGATGGAGAGGGGTTTTCTGCCTCGCCTTCCCCATGCCCCTGGCAGCAGTGGCTCCTCTTCCTCTCGTTAGGGCTGGTCTGCAGCGGCACAGCTCGTTCCAGCTCCTGGGTGGGTAATTAGCCAGCTTGTGCTGCATGGCAGGGAAGCTGTGAGCCCGAGTTTCCAGGCAGCAGGAGCAGTGGGGGGGGGGAGGGGGGGGGGTGGGGGTTGGGGAAGAGCCTCCTGGGTATAAATAGCATGGAGATTGGGCTAGTTAGGATCTCATGCCGTTAACCCCTTCCAGCCCTGTGCAGCAGGGTTGCTCGAAGCCTGCCATCTCTGCAGGTCACGGCCAAACAGCGAGGTGTGGTACAGGGATGGGGGAGAAGGCACAGGGGGGCTGAACCACACGACAAGGTGTTTCTGTCCCCGGAGCCCCTGCCAGCCCCACGGGCAGGTGATGAAGAGTAAAGGGAAGAAGACAGTGGTAGGGAAAAATGGGCCAGGCTGGGAGCCCGGCGAGCTCTGGCTGCATGGCCCAACTACCGTCCTGCAAGTCCTCCTGGGGTGGATTCCTCTGTTTTCAGCATTTCTTGCTATTCACACACTTTACAGCGTGTTTCCTTCGGGTCTTAGCAATCCTCATGTGTATTTTGGTGCAGAGGAAAGGCCCCGGCTGCTGCTCTGACGGGGGGAGGCTGAACTCCCCGCCGGGACCCCGGCAGGGCAGCTCCTGTGCGGGGCATTGGTCCTGCCGGAGCAGAGGCAGGGGGAAGG